GATAGGTAGATAGGTAGGTAGATAGATAGGTAGGTAGGTAGGTAGATAGATAGGTAGGTAGGTAGGTAGGTAGATAGATAGATAGACAGACAGACAGACAGACAGACAGACAGGCAGGCAGGCAGGCAGATAGATAGATAGATAGATAGATAGATAGATAGATAGATAGGTAGGTAGATAGGTAGGTAGATAGATAGATAGATAGATAGATGATAGATAGATAGATAGATGATAGATAGATTGGTAGATAGATAGACAGACAGACAGACAGGCAGGCAGACAGACAGACAGACAGGTAGATAGATAGATAGATGATAGATAGATAGATGATAGATAGACAGACAGACAGACAGACAGGTAGATAGATAGATAGACAGACAGACAGACAGACAGACAGACAGGTAGATAGATAGATAGATAGATAGATAGATAGATAGATAGATAGATAGACAGACAGACAGACAGACAGGTAGATAGATAGATAGATAGATAGACAGACAGACAGACAGGTAGATAGATAGATAGATAGATAGATAGATAGATAGATAGACAGACAGACAGACAGACAGGTAGATAGATAGATAGATAGATAGATAGATAGATAGATAGATAGATAGATAGATAGATAAATAGATAGATAGACAGACAGACATGTAGATAGATAGATAGATAGATAGATAGATAGATAGATAGATAGATAGATAGGTAGGTAGATAGGTAGATAGATAGATAGATAGATAGATGATAGATAGATTGGTAGATAGATAGACAGACAGACAGACAGACAGACAGGCAGGCAGACAGACAGGCAGACAGACAGGCAGATAGATAGGTAGATAGATAGATAGATAGATAGATAGATAGATGATAGATAGATTGGTAGATAGATAGACAGACAGACAGACAGGCAGACAGACAGGCAGATAGATAGATAGGTAGATAGGCAAATAGACAGATGAATACAGAGATGGGTGGGAAGTTAGGGAAGACATTGGAAGGACTGGGGGGAGAGGGAGTTGGGGAGAATATAGGACAGATTAAAGGGAGAGGACATGGTAAGGGTTAAAGGGAGGAAAGGAAAGGGGAATTACTTAATTATATTTAATTCAATTTTTACAATTATTTTTTAAAAATTGAAGTATGTACAAGATGTTTTAAGAATGTGTAATGTAGAAGAGTAAAAAAATGTAATAAAAAATAGTAGTACATGAGGGTGGATAGGAGGTTTTAAATGGAGAATTGATTTTCCTCTCTTTTGAAAGATATATTTTAGACAAAATATTTTAGAGAAATTCCAAATGATAAATATCTGTGCCCACGATCCAGGAAATCCCATATGTGGGAGAGCACATCAGTGTAATGCAGGAAACCCAATATGAGATAGAGTTGGTCAGTGTGGGAGAAATAGTTCACCTTTGTCGGAGAACCACTTGAGATGACAGGAAGAGAGTCAGAGAAATGCAGGGTAGAAACCACCAGGGCAAGGTATCACGCATGATGCTGGACGGCTATGTCTGACTGCCTAACTGTTATGCCTTACCTCATTCATGATGCTGGACTCCCTGCCTTCCTGTTATGTCTTACCTCATTCATGATGCTGGACTCCCTGCCTAACTGTTATATCTTACCTCATTCATGATGCTGGACTCACTGCCTAACTGTTATATCTTACCTCATTCATGATGCTGGACTCACTGTCTAACTGTTATGTCTTACCTTACTAGGTAACTTTTGCAACAAATTGATTATAACTCATTTCTTAAATGGTTATAAGACTTAGGTGTGTTTCCTGTCTGTCACATTTCAGAAGATCTAAGGAAGCTGGTTTTCTTATGCTTCTCTCAGAAGTGAGTATCACACTGGGAAAATGTTCTTCTGGGTACTAATCAATTCAAAGTGAACACAGAGTGCCGAGAAGCTCCCAAATATAAAAGAAAAGGAAGCCTTTGGGAAGCTTTGGGAAGCATGAACATTAGGGCCTTGTGAGGTTCTGTTCAACTTTTAAGGGAAACCACCCCACAGGGTAGCAGAAGATGAGAAGGGCAAGACGCCCCCTGGCTTCAGCTCCAAGTCACTAGGTTGAAGTCTGACTAGAAGATCTGGGGAATTTCAGGAGGCAATTAAGTTCTCTTACAAAGTAGGTGATCAGAAAGGAACGTCATGACAGGATATCCTCGCTCCCCTTCCAAAGTATAGAAAGTGCTGCCAGTCTTAGAAAGAGCATCCTGCTACCAGCTTTCACAAGAGAGCCACTTAAGAGGTATTTACTACTGCTGGGATCTTTGGCAAAAACTGCATTTTCCACTATGTTGTTCCATTCCCTTATTTGAAATACATCTTTAGAATCTAGCCAAAAGCTGAATGACTCACCCGGCCAGAAGAGCTGCTCGGGGGATTCAGCGAGGGAGTCGTCCAGAAACTCCAGCTCATTCACAGTTGCTATTAGAAAGTAACTAAGAGCGCAATGTCCTTTGCATTCTGACTCATGAAACTATACGGGCATAGAGGAATTGCTCAGCCTCTTTGCCTTGTCTTGATGTTCTACTCAAGATACCCCAGAATGTCATCATGTTGTAAAAACTTAATGTGAAAAACACCTGTATGGGATGAAGTGTGGGTTCTAAAGAAAACACTCAACAAATATTCCACATTTGCTATGACGGTGGAAAAAAAAACATGAACCTCACTAATGGACTTAACTTTATGTCAAGCCAGAGGCACACCACCGAGTATGTGAAATACCATCTAGAAAAGCAATTTCCTCTATCAATGCCATTTCCCCCAATGCTCAGCATTATCTTTAGGACCTGATGGTGCCCTTGATCAAAGCATCATGTGTGTCATGAGGAAGAGTTGGACTGGACCAGTCCTCCTGAGTCCCAAGTGAAAAGTCTCTATGTTCCCCCACTCACTACAACTTGAATACTGGAAGCCCGGTTTTAATATGTCTCTATAATGACCCCGTCAATACACAAATGAAGGTGTTTCTTTCCAGGAGCAAGTTTCATAGGAAGTAAAACCATCTGGCCCTTCCCCTGCACTGATTGCTGGTGGGGTAATGATATTTTCCAAACATCCCATTTCCCAGACACCTTAGCAGAACTTGATGTTTCAGAAAGAGCATGGATGGGAGTCCCTCCCACTCCTCAGATGGTTCCTCAGCACAGCATTTAAGTTCCTTTGGCTCCAAGCTTCTCATCTGTAAAATGGGTAGTGACTTCTTCCTTAAAAATGTATACTGTGAAGAGTGCCATATGTACCTATGTACACACACACACACACACACACACACATATATATATATGGACATATATATTTACATATATACACATATATCTTGACATATATATGGATACATATATGCATACATACATATGTTATAGAGGTGATTGACTTGCTTTCTAAGCAAAACAAGAATTTAAATAATAGCAAAATGGGAGCTTTCAAAACAAGTCATTTTTTTTAATTTTTAAAAATTTTTTTATTAATTTACATGTATGGGTATTTTGTCTGCTTGTAGGTTTGTATATTGTGTGCATGCCTGGTACCTGAGGTAGCCAGAAACAGGAATCATATTTCCTAGAACTAGAGTTGCAGGTGGTTGTGAGCCATGTGGGTGCTGGTAACCAAATTCAGGCTCTCTGGAAAAGCCAGTGTTCTAATCTCTGAGCCATCTATCTAGCCCCCAAACCAAAAAACTTGTAGGTAAAAATGGTTTTGGGTTTTCAAAAGGAAATCATAGGGATAGCAAGATAAATCATCAAGTAAAGGGAATTGGTGACCCAAGGGAATAAAGACCCAAGTTCAATCCCCAGGTCTTACTTGAAGGAAAGAATAAACTCCCACAAGGTGTCCTCTGACCTCCACATCATGCTGAATCACACACACACACACACACACACACACACACACACACACACATATACACACACACAATCACACACATGCACACACTAAAATAATTGTAAATGAAGGTATTGAAGCTATCATTTAGAAACATGCTCAATGAGAAGATGGGGCAGACTTAGTAGACTTCCTAGGGGAGGCCTCACCCTCTCCAAGGAGCAGATGGGAGGGGGGTGTGGAGGAAGAGGGAGAAGAGGAGGGAAGGGGAACTGGGATTAGAATGTAAAATATAGGTTAATTAAAAAAGAAACATATGCTCATACTTTCAAAAATACTTCTGATATTTTGTTGACTTTTTTAGGTTTCTGTATCAATTTGTTGATTTAAAACTTATATACTTTGAAATACAAGTTTGTTTTTCTTGAGCCAGAGTTTAGGGAAGTAGCTGATTGATTTTAATTACATATAGAGTGGGCAGAGATGGTACACACCTTAAATCCCAGCACTCAGAGGCAGAAGCAGATGTCTGAGTTCGAGTCCAGCCTGGTCTACAGAGCATGCTCCAGGACAGTCAGGGCTACACGAAGCAAACTAACAAAAAATGACATATAGCAATGGCACCATTGACGGGTGTTGGTGACTCACACCTTTAATTCCAGCACTGGGGAGGCAGAGGCAGGCAGATTTCTGTGATTTGAGACCAGCCTGGTGTACAGAGCTACTTCCAGGACAGGCTCCAAAGCATGGCACCTTAAACGGCTCAGCTCTTGTTGCTTTCAGAACATTCTCCTCCCCACCCCCTCTCTGCCTAGACTTGCCTTCTGACATCTATACATAGCCTTGTAATGAAGTTGGGTAAGGCCACATAATTGACATACTTGTGCTGATCTGTAGAGGAACTAGTTTTGGTTTTACAGTGAATTTTCCCTTGAAAATATTTCAAGGCTGTGCATATTTGTGCCTGTCACCTTTGTTTATGTATTACCCATGTCTTTGTGGCTTGCACTTTTCCACGTTGTTTAGTCTATTACTGAGCCCAGTGGCTAACGAGGGTTCTTGCCTGATGTATAGAACTAATAAGCAATTGTTTTTAAAAGCCATAAAGTTAAGCACAAATGCATTGGTATTGAGTTGTGAAATCTAATAAGACTCACTGGTTTGCCTGTGTTGGACATTCTCTTTACAGCTGTGAACTGATGTACAGCGAAGCACACCAGGTAGGTACTCATGGGGACAGACTTCCAAAAAGTGGTCTTGTTCCAGACGTCATCCAGTGACTCTTCTCTCTACGGGAAACAAACGATCATCTTTTACTTATCACAAGATTGACCATGAAGAAGACAAACAAATGGGTACCCCAACGCCCACTCCCTACTCAGAAGTTCATTTCCAAAGTTCAGGGGTCAAGTAACAAAGCAGGGAAGGCTGTGGGAAAAGTCACCTTATGTTCAAGACTGTGGAAGTGACCGAATTGCACACTGTATCCGATTTCTCACATCAGGTGGGCAGGTGTTTATCTTTCTGCAAAAGTCACACAGTGCTGACCATATTTTAAGGGGAACTTGATCCCTTAATAAAGAATAGGCTGGAAGCCTTGCAGAGGGAAGGATTAATGAGGCAGCAGCTTGTTTACTGTGTATGAAGGGATAACTACTGTGTGAACAACCAGTTTGGGCTTCTCTCTTCCAGTTCCATTTGTTTACACCAAAGACCCATGGTGTAGGCACTAGTCAATGCCCTGGTGACTGTCAGAGAGGACTCCATTGTTTGACGTAACTACTAACCCATCTGGGAGTTTTCATCCACACCAGTTCTGCCAGCCTCCTGTCAGTCACCTACAAGCCCTAAGCACCTGCCATAGTCTCCCTACCATAGCTTAAACATTTGCACATCTCCACATAACCACTTTCTAGATGGAAACATTCTTGCCATGTGTGGGTATGTGTATGCTCCAGAGAGAAAAGTTACATCACAATAAAAGTCTTCTAGTATCCATTTAGGTCTATGTTTTGATGACCCAGAGAGCCATCCTTATCCCCTCCAGTATCTGAATCTAGCAGAAGTAAAAATCTGTAGTCCTCTTCGATGACTAGGTCATAAAGAAAGAGGGACCGGTTTGTCTTCTTTCTCTTTCCACCTTCATTTTCCCTCATCTGCCCCAAGGCATTCTGATGTCTCCTGTATTTTGATTATGTATTTTCAATTTATGTGTCAAACTTGAATTTTTATCCTTTGCTCTTTCTTCTCCAATCTGAACTTAAGTTCTCAGATGTCCAAATGGGGGAAAATCTTATTAATGGATTCATTCTGGGGCTGGGGATTTTTTACATTTTAATCTTTATGCATTTGATCTCTTTGCTTGGTTTGTACTTTTCAAGGGTCAGTTTATTATTAGAAGGATGGGTTTCAGTGATAGTTTAGATCACTATCTGAACTAATCAGAAAGATGGGAGGTAGAGAACCCATTATACTGATAATGGTCTTTAACTATGCCACTCATTATGAACAGGAAATACAGCAAAGAGTCCTGTATTCACAAGGATGCAGACAGAATTATTGTAGTCTATTATTAATTCAATGTTTGACAGATTCCCTCAGCAGGAAAATCTATGGGCATGGCATTCTCTGGAGTTGACATGTACAACCAAGAATTGAAGTAATGATTTTTAAAAATAACTTTATCTGTTAAAAAATAAAGGGGAATTGTATTGAATGGAAAAGTCTAAATAGTGAGTTTAATCTCGAAAACTTTAAGTGTGTCATTGATTTTTTTTTTTTTTAATGACTAGCGGCTTGTGTAGTTAAGCAGAGCCCCCAGTCGACCTCCAGGGATTGTGTTCTTTCTCCCTTAAAAATTTCAAGGTGAATTTATTGATGGACTGTGGTGTTATAAGTTGACAACTTCCTAGAGTCAAAAAAAAAAAAGGTTGCTAAGATGTATTCTTAATCTTTTAAATTGATAGCTATAGCACATTTAGTTTTAGATTAGATTTCAGAGTTCCCTGCTATGGTAAATCAGGTAGTTCAAGTAATACTGCAAACAGTGCTTTAAAGTACTCACCATCACTGGCATATTTGAAAGTGCTGAGTATGTTTTGGGGTGGATGATGGATATATTGTAAGTTGCCTTCTTGTTGGGTTCATCAAAACAAGGGAAGGACTTCCTGGCATCCGTTGGTTCATGGTCAGTGGCCGCTATGCTCCTTAGAAATAAACACAGACATGACGCGTACTGCTACTTCTGATAGTGCCTATGTTTCTATTGCTATAGAAAATACGAGTCACATTATGATAACTCTTAACATTTCTTTTCATAAGCGCCATCTGAAAGACTATCAAATGTCCACCAAAGGGTTTTAGAATTTTGGGGATACTCTAACCCAAAGTCACTGAGCAACAAGGAGGCAACACATGCACACCTGGTTGCCTCTTTCTAACTGTGTTGGGAGCTGTGAGCAGGTGTGTCCTATCACAGAATGGAGGAGTATCTTCTTGTACCCTCCTTCTGTTCCAGTGGCACATTCTTCCACCCTTACGCTATGGCAAGGCAGAACTCCTGTTCATTTTCAGGCAAAATGGGTGCTGAGCCTTCTCCCTAGTGAGGAAAAGGTCAACCTGGCCTAATGCCCCATTTTAAGGGCTGAGGCTATATAGCTCAGTGGTAGCTCACCCACTTCCTATGTGCAAGGCCCTGGGTACAATCTCCTGCAAAGCTTTTTAAATTAAAAAGCCTACTTTTGAAAAGACAGCAAGCAGCATCCCTGATGGCTGCTAGTAGGCATGTGCTTATACTCACCAAACTGTTAATGCTTAACATTTCCTGAATTTCCAACTGAAAGTACTGTTTTTCAAACTTTATATATACATGTACATGTATATATACATATATATATATGCTTATATATGTATAAGCATATTACAGTAAGACAGTATGATCATATATTTGCTCATTGGAAAGAACAGCAAATAAAAGCATAAGAAGCAAGATAACATTTATTGATGTCACCAATAATCTGTACAAGAATAACATGGGTTCTCATGAACTAAAGAAGCTGTATCACCTTTGTAATCCCAACACTGAGGAGTTTCAAGCCAGTCTGTGGCCTGTTGAGACCCTGTCTCAACAATAACAAAAAAGCCACACACACACACACACGCACACGCACACGCACACGCACACGCACATGCACACACACACACACACACACACACACACACCGTATTCATAATAACACACTCGGCAGATATTACTCTGCTCCTAGATGACAAGCTCCAAGAGCAATTCTCTAACAGGATCCAAGAGCAATTCTCTAACAGGAGCCAGGGCTCCTTAGAGAAAGGATTGCTTCTAGACTGGGTAAGAAGTTCATGATGACCCAGATCATCTTGTCAAGAAAGTAAGAAGTACTGAAAGAATCATGGGAACAAGTCAGAAAGACACGGGTATCTGCTTGACAGGAATACTACTTGCCAAATCTATGGGGACTAGAACACCAAAATCAGCAGAATGGGAAAACAACCTATTGAATAAATCAAGAATACACGAGTCCTTTCTTGTTCTTCTCTTTTAATGACGTTTTTAAATATATTTTCTGTATGGTGATGTGGGGCAGGGGACACTGGCAGAGTGTGAAGGTCAGAGAAAAACTGCTGGATTCAGCTCTCCCTCTACCATGTAAGTTCTAGGGATCAAACTTAGGACATCAGGCATGGGGCGAGGGCCTTTGGGTAAATTGAACCATTGTTCTGATTAGTTTTTTCTAATTTAACAAATTAGAGTCACATGGGAAGAGGAAATCTTAATTGGGGAATTCCCTCCAGTCAGACTAGCCTATGGTGTGACTGAGGGGCATTTTCAGGAGGGCCCAGCCCATTATGGGTGGTGTGACTCCTCAACAGTGGCCCTTGGTTCTATAAGGAAACAAGCTGAGCAAGCTATGGAGATGAAGTCACTATGTAACATTTCTCCATGATTTCTATTCAGTTTCTACTTCAGAGTCCCACCTTGAGTTTCTTCCTTAACTTCCAACATTGATGGCCTGTGACACAGATGCAAAAGCCAATCATTCTTCCCCAAGTTGGTTTTGGTCAGTATTTTCTCACAGCAGCAGAGAAGCTAATTAGGACAGCCCATGGACTCTTTCTTTGATTGCAAGTTTGATTTAAATTCTTTTTTAAGTAGATTATAGACATTTTATATTGCAATGCTAGAGATTGGCCTCAGGGTTTCATGCATGCTAAGCACACACTCTATCACTGAGACACATCTCAAACTCTTAGAGACCAAGAATTTTAGAAGAAATACCAGATACAGAAAATCTTCAGAAGTTCTTTACCCTGTTTCAGGTAGCCTCTGGAAAAATGACCTACAAACCTGTTGCTCTGACTCTGGAGACAGCCATTGGAAATTACCCAAAGTGCATGGTTTAAAAAGCAACATCACCAACCATCACTGACTTATAAACAGCTTGCACCATTTCCTGAGTGTTACACAGCCGTGCCTCCTGACAGAAATGCTCAAGTGACATTTTAAAAAGATCATTGAAAAGAGCCACACAAATGGAAACTTAGGGGCATTCCCAAAATAACTGGCCCATCCTCTTCAGAACTAGTACCGTCAAGAAAGATGAAGGAAGGCTGGGGGGAAAAATGGATTTGAAGGAGCTTGTACTGGACACACTTGCAAGTGGGGATACTTGAGAGAGGCAAAACTGAGAGGCTATTACCAGGCTAACTGAAGAAACCCGATTATGAACTCAAGTTACATAATTGTATTGATGCTAAATACTTTGAATTTTCTTTTTAAGCTGCTGTATAGTTGTTAGACAATGCCTTGTACTTAAGAACTGTATCCTGATGTCAAGATTTAAACGTGTTCTTTAGAGAGAGAAAAGAGGGTCAAAAGTAGCAAAATGTAAGTAATTGATGAATCTGGGTAAATTATTTTGAAAGTTCCAGATACCATCCTTGTAACGTGTCTGGAAGTTTGAAGTGGTTTTTCTTGTTGTTGTTGCTCTTTGTTTGTTTGTTTGTTTTTTAATCAAGTTACCTAAGAAAAGCCTTAGCCAAAGATTTGTTCTGCAACAGAATAATTGGTTATTGTGATGTTAATAGTTTTTATTTTGTTTTGTTCTTTGAGTCAGGGTCTCATTGTGAGACCCTGGCTGCCCAAGGACTCACTATGTAGACCAGGTTGTCTTTGAACTTACAGAGATTCTCCTGCCTCTGCCTCTACAGGAATTAAAGGTATGTGCCACCATGTCCTGCAATAAACCTTAATTTTAGATCCTTTGGGAATTACACTGGATTGTAAATACATCAGACTATGAAGAAGCTGTCATGTCTTCCCAGGCCTTATGGCAAGATGTAGCCAGGGGCAAGTCATGCTTGTGCAGCTGTGCTTTTCCTTTGAATTGTTTTGACTTCTGATTTTTTTCTTCCCTCCCCCTAAGGTGAAGGAACAATTGTGTTGCAGGTTAGTCCACCAAAGAAACAAGCCCCCAAAGTGATGAGAAAGACGTAAGTGTGAGTGTGCGTGTGTGTACTGGAGGGCATGGCTCTCTCTCTGTGCGTGTGTGTACTGGAGTGTGTGTGTGTGTGTGTGTGTGTGTGTGTGTGTGTGTGTGTGTTTGGTGTGTGTGTGTTGGGAGGGATCCACTCAGGAAAGAGCATTGCAAAAGCCCAGAATAAGCAGGGAGCAGAGCTGCGCTTCCAGGCACAATAGTCATTCATTATACAGGTTTTTCAAAGGTCAACTCTCTGCAAGATGCTGAGTACTCATGAGAACCCAGGGCAGAGATGTTTAATCCTTTCACTTGCTTCCCTTACAAAGGTCTCTGACCAATGTCCTCCTAACTAGAGCCCTTTTGCTCTTGCTCTTGCTTGAGCACAGGGATCCAGGAGGGTTGCAGGTGTCTCCGTGCAGTGGGTCTGTTTTGCCCTGGCCTTTTCAGCACTCACACCGAGTCTGACACAATTATGGAGACCTGGTTGTGCAGGGAAAATGGATGATATTAATTGCCAGCAGGCAGGCAAAAATGTATATTACTCCCTCCTCCGTCAAAGTGCCTCAGCTGCCCCAGTGTTGGATTATAAGCATGTGGTAAACCACCCTGCCTTCTCTTTAGGCTTAAAAACCATCGTATAGTAAAGACAAATTAGGTTCATTCCTGTTCATGATTACATCTCTGGTTCTCAAGGATGGGGCTGCGCCCCACCTGTAACCTTAACCACAAATGTTTCTGTACTGTCTGTTCCAGGGAACAATAACCTTTGTTTCAAAAGGTTATTGTAACCACCTTGGTATGACCACCTTGCAATCATGTCTTTGTTTCAAGAGCATGTTAAGGCTAATTTATTGTTTATGTTCTGCTCTGGTAACCCCACTATTTTGTCTGCCAAACCCACCATTTGGAAACCTCCTATCCCTGAGCTATAAAAATATTATTTTCCTTAACTCCAATGCTGATCTCTTGAACCCCACCTTTTGGAAGAGAAAGTCTATGTACACAGATTAAAAAAAAAAAAAAAAGAGCTTGCTTTAATTAATTTGGCCATGATGATTTGGGTTGGTGGTCTTTCTCCTTAAATTTTTGGGATTTACATATGCACTAACACAGTAGCCCCAGACTTTACGAGACAATGCTTTCCGAATTCTAAAATATTTAAAGTCCGTTTATTTAACTGGACTAGGTACTGGAAAAATATGATGTGTGTAAGTCCTAATGGTATGCAACCATATTGTAAAATAGTAAGTTGTGCCAAGCATGGTGGTGTATGCGTTTAATTCTGCCACTTGGGAGGCAGAAGCAGGTAGATCTCTGTGTATTTTCAGTCATCCCAGTTTCCATAGTGAGTTTCAGGATAGCCAGAGCTACATAGTGAGACCCTGTCTCAGAAAAACCAAAGCAAAACAACAAGAAAAGGTAACTTGTTTCTTGTTTCTCTCATTGTCTACTGAAGAACTCAGAAAACTCTGTTGATAGATGGCCAGCTCTTTGAATTGCCGCCAGACTTTCCTAAATGCTAAGCAAATGTGCAAACAATGTATGTAAGACAGCAATATAAAGTGACTTCAGGTCTTTAACTGACAATTAAAAGTCCTTTTTAAAATCTGAGCTGGGCTGCAAATGGATTAGACTTGCCTGAGAACAGCGGGAGATACTCAGAAGTGACTTTGCAGTGTTCTGAGCAATTAATTACAGCAGCAAATGTGCTGAGCAAGCCACTTCTCTAGGAGACCTCCCTGTGCCATGCTAGTAACTCATCCACTGGACTTTAAAATCTTACTCCTTGTAGCTTATTAACTCGCCATCAGGGAGTGCCTCTGTCTGCCTTCCTCAACAGCATGAGACCAACCAACATGCTTTAGGGAAAGCTGAGGAAGGAGTAGCCGTGGTCATTCTGAATGAACTTTAGAAAACAAAACCCCAAACGACTGTTATCTCATAAGTCACTGGCACCCAGCTCCTAAGAACGACTCCCAGGCTATATTCAACAACTTCATAGAGTGAGCCAGCGAGACAAATGGCCAGGTCAGGCTAAAATCCTTAAGCAGGGGGCACGCCTGCTGTAGGACTAGCAACTACCTGTGCTGAGTCTACATACGGTCTGTCAAGTGTTCCCAAGTCATGCACATGAGCTGCTCAGTTGACGATGAGTGACCACTCACTTCTCAATGGAGTTGTATGGTGGATTGAACAAGCCAGTTCATTATTCAGTTCCAAGTTGTGTTGCTTTGTATGCAGAAGCTATTAAAGACCAGCTAAAGTTCCCTTTGCCTCCAAAGTAAAGAAAAACCACTAGCCCTGCAGCAAGCATACAAGACCTCCTCATAAGTTTCACTCTGTACTGATTACTTTTCACCAGCTAAGAATCATCTTACAACAGCTAAAATTTCAAGATCAAAACCTCACAACGGAGCATACATATCTGTGTGTGATAATGCATTTTCCCATATATACACTGTTTTCACAAAGCAACTAAATCATACCATAAACCATAGCTTTTTACTTTAGAGGTATTTGCCTCAATTCCAACTAGCTGTGTCTAAGAGGCTTCAACAGGTCAAAACTGAACTTCTACATCAACGTCTTCTCTTTCCTTCTACACCACCTCCTTCTGTTTCAAGTATCAACTAAAAGGTAGGGCCATCATTCAGTTGCTACATCTTGGGCATCCTAGACCCATAACTTCAGCCTATCCCCACCATCAGTCAACTGGTAGACCTGAGTTGTTTTCCCTCTAGGCCTTTCCCCCAGGTGTCTGGTCTCCATCTTGATGTCATCTGGATTGCTTATCTCTCTATCCTGATCTGCAGTATCTCCCCTACACATGGATGAAGGTTTCTGTCTTTGAACATCCATGACCCCTGTGTCACCCTCACTAATTCTTCCTCTGTCCCCATAGTGACCATCTCCTTCCTTTCCATAGTTATCTTCAGTGTCCTCTCACAAATTGTAGCTTGCTTCTTTATATAAACCCTACCAACAAACTCACTTTCTTGTTCCCACCATGATTCCTCTGACTTTTTACCTTCCCGTTTGTCTCTATGTAAACCCCACCATAATATCAAAAATTCAGCTTAAATCCTACAATACTATGAAAAACACCAGAAAACTCAAACTGGAGCTAGGCATAGGTGATTATGTATAAGGTTGTTCTTTATATTGTGTAGGAGCAACTTAAATATCCGTACTTAATGGAAAAGCTGAGTGAATTACATCATGGCTGTACCAAGGCATGTGTCCAAAATGATCTTTAGTGGAAAAATACCAAAGAACAAGTCAACTCATCGGTGGGTGCTTACTTTTTAACCTTTGTTTTGTTTTTCAGATTCTCTGCAATGACTGTGTATTGTTCGTGTATAAATAAAGTTTACTGCTGCAAAGTTTTTTGGTATGCTTGCACCCTTGACCTGGTAATCCAACTTTTAGAATAATAACTTCTGATGTGTTTATAATAATAATAATAATATGGTAGAAACAGCATTGATGCACAACAATGGAAACTGAGAAAATTCAATGCATTTATGAAATAGTGCACCATCTTTAATATCTGATTCTTGTAAATATTTAAAGACAAAAGAAAAGGTTTATGATGTATTAAATTTAAAATTTTAAAATCCACATAGTTAGATATAGTTATATAATTGTAACTCAGTTTCGACATTGGTTGTCTAGGGAACTATTGAAGTGCAGATGAACACATTAATAGGCAATACCACTAGCTGTGAGACTGTTATATCTTGCTATGCTGTCACTTTTAAAAATGGAAAAAGTCAATGACTTTAATTGCTAGCATGATAGATCTGTGTGATCCCCTCCCCGCCCCGATCTTTTCTTCCAATTATCCCTTCTCTACAGCTTACTCATGAACTACACAATAATGTAAAGTGGATTCAACATTTCTTACTCTCCGGGCCTCTCTGGTCAACGATAGGAAGAAATGTGACAGAGAGATTTGCTTTGCTCGGTAAGATACCTCAGGTGACAGAGGGAAGAGACTCACAGAGGACTGGCCCCGGCCCCCATTTTTGACTGGTGACACCCAGATTTTTTTTCAGTTGTTAAATCTGCAGAATCTGGGTGGGCAAATGTCCAAGCAGGTTCAAGCAGGTGTAGTATAGCCTAGATCCCTGGCTGTGCTCACAGTGTGATGGCGTTGTGAGTTCAGGGAAGGCCCTTATGCCTTTAACCAAGATCTGATAACTCCCTGATCTGTGTGAATACCATATAGAAAGATAACAGGTTAGGGTTAGACTATATATTCATTTTATAATTATTATTTAATGTGTATTTAAACACTTCTTCTTGGAGCACTACAGGGAAGAGAAACATGTGTGACTGTCTTTTGTGTTGTAAAGGCTTAGTGTTACTATTTCATGCTTAATGATAGCTGGCAGCTCCAGGACATCTGCCATTCAGGACATGTGTCTTTAGCATTCCCTGAAAACATAGGTAGAAACTGGTTCTGGTCACAGAAGACCACAAGACCCAGATAGGCTTTTCTTTTCAGATGAACACCTAAAGACATGTCCAATCTTGTACAATTTCCATTAAGACCTTTCTCCAGGAACTTGCACGAACAATAATGTAATTGACATTTAATGTAATTGTCATTTCAAATGAAATTGTTTATCCTTATAAAACTATCATGATGTATCCCAAAAATATCAGTAGTGAAATGTACCAAATGCATCCAGTCATAAATATCTGAGGTAGTATGTGTGGATATTAGGGGTAGGAGGTGATGCATCCAGGTGTAGTAAGGACTTACTGGCTTCTCTGCACAGGCATTCCACCTAGGACCTGCAAGCTTGGTGATAGAATTTCAAAATACAATAAGGCCAAGACATTTTGCTTCTCAGATGAACAAGCAGAATTGAAGCCAAGGGCAGACAGAGATCAGACCAACAAGATAAAAATGGAAAACAAAGAGGAAAGGAAAATAAACACTGCAGAAGCTGAGCTCACAGAAACACAGCACCTACTTGACTTGCCCATTCTCGGTGTAAGTGGTTCTGTAAAAGCCCACGAGGGAGCCGTTCAACCAGCCCGCAAACTCCAAGGTCAGCACATAGACACTGTCGCCACTGCTGGCAGCAAGCTCTTCTTCGGCTTGGATCACCACGTACTCCTGCTTCTTGTACTCGAAGCATCGTAGAATTGGTACCTTCTCCCCAGAGGGCTTCCTCAGCTCCGGCTGCTTGGTGACCCTGGTTTCCCTGATGTGCAGCCATAGGTTACTTGTGGGCTTGCTTATGCTGATGGAGATGCTCACTCTGCCCGTGTACCTGTCTTCCTCCATCAGAGGCTTCACCTCCAAGTCATAGTGGACAGGATTGATGTAGTCTGGCAGCCTGAAGTTTTTCCATTCTCCATTTTCATCTTCTCTGGCCGGGCAGATATCCTGGTCCTGGGGAGGTGGGTTTGAAGGAGCCGGAGCCGGAGCCGGGGTTGTGGTCTGCCCATTGTCTCCAGAGGAGTCACATGACCTGGTTAAGCCCACGGAAAGCCCCACTATTAATCCAACAGCCACCACCACCCCACAGATGATGGCCACATGCTTGCCTCTAATGCAGTATCTCTTAGAGGGCTCATCCTCTTCGAAGTTCATTTTTCTCCTGAAGTCAGATGACACACATAAAAGGGTGTCAAATTTAACTAACTATCATCGGCTTACTTCCCTTTTCAGTCGGATGGAGTCCCCTGGTTTGGCAGTCTGCCTTTGCTTTCCCACACCTCTCTAGCATCCAGTGCTTCTTTCCAGTCCTGCACGTCCCCACGGGCCACTCCGGGATGAACGCGGAAACCAAGGAGCAGGATGGGGACCCAGGAGAGAAGCTGACTTGAAGGAGGAGTTCGGATGAGAATGTTGGCCCAGCTCTCTATAAACAGCGTCTCCCCAGGCCAGCCCCTTCTGCACTGGAGCGAGTTAAATATAAAACAGGGCTTGAGCCTATCGGCCAACAGGAGGAGGAGATTTTGCCAAACCTCTGTCAGCAGCCTTGAGAGAGAAAGCCTTTGGCTCAGAGGTGTGCTTATGATAGAAAGCACAACCTTTGCCACCAGATCTTCCTGTTGTGTGTGCTCTCAGCCAAAGAGCTTCTTGAATTTCACTATTTTATTAGGTCGCTTGCCAAAGAAGCTAACTGTTTTGTTTTTTCTCTTATCCCTCAAATTATGTAAACATTCAAATTCTGCCCTCTGCGGAAATCATGTCCTGGAGTGGGATAGCTTGGAGGAGTTCCTAAATTTAAGGATCACATAGCTATTCGTTGACACATTGGTTGGACCAGGTACCCAAGGCAAGTAGATATAAGACAAAGGGAAACGCAAAGAAACTGGCTGGCCAGGGAGGTGAAGGTGAGGATGCGGAAGGTGAAAGAGAGGATGGAAGGCTTGAGAGGACAGAAAGTCAAGGATGACTCTCTACTAGTCTCAGAGTTTGCTTCCAAGTAAGAGCATGTTCTGGAGACTTGGATATAGTGAGCCAGGTTTGGAGCAGATAAAGATGCCACAACTGGCCTATGCTATCCATTGGCGATGATCCGGGTGGGAGTGAGTAAGGTTTGTGTGGAGGTTTATAGCTTCTGGGCTTGGAAGTAGCTTAGGTGCAGACACTAGCCATCCATGATAAAAGCAATGCAAACATAATCAGAAGTTTCAATAACTGTTCACATGCCATGTACTATGTAAGGCACTTTATAGAAACTGACCTTTAATTTTTTTTCCCCCATAGATCTATGCAATCGGATCTATTTTGATGCCCATTTTAGAGGAGGTGAGACTGGCATTTAGACATTATCAGTGCTGAATAAGAGCAGAATTTGTGTCTGGAGCCAGGTTATTTGAGTTGAAGGTCCATATATTTACTGCATTGCAGTAATATAAGCTTTCCTTATCTAAAGAGGAGAAATATTTGAGGTTAAAAGCCAAAGAGCGGTTCTCATGGCCAAGGTTAGATAACTCGAAAATCTTTGGCTGGGAGATGACTCAGTCAGTAAGTACTTGTTTTGCAAGCTCGAAGACCTGAGTTTGGTTCCTAGAACCCATGTTAAAGGGGGGGAAAATCCAAGTGAGATAGCATAAAACTTGGAATCCCAGGGTTGGGGAGGTGTAGACAAGCATATCTCTGGGGCTTGCTTACCCGACCTAGCCTACTTGGTAAGTTAAAGCCTGAGAGAGACTGCATCAAAACAATGTGGTCAGCTGCCCAAGGAATGGCAGCCACATTTGTCCTCCTGTGGCCTCTGCACACATATATCTACACACACACACACACACACACACACACACACACACACACACACTTAGAATCTTCTTTATTGTCCTCCTTTCCCCCCAGAGTCTCCAAATCCCTACACTGTGAGCTTCTCAGAGAGAACACACTACAGAATGAATAATTTCCCACTTTAGCTGCTCCCCAACTCCATCTTGATCGTCTAGTTGTGGGTAAGCTTTCTGCTTTTCTGTTCTCATTTACTTTTATGTGTATGAGTGCTTTGGCTACAGGCATGTCTGTGAACTGCATGTGTACCTGGTACCCAAAGAGGCAGAAGAGGGTGTTGGATCCTCTGGGATGAGTGGCAGACAGTTGTGACTGACATGTGGGGGCTCAGAACTAAAGGGTCCTCTGGAAGAGTAGCCAGTGCTCTTAACTGCTGAGCAGTGTCTCCAGATCCTGATGACTTTCTTTTCTTTTCTTTTTCTAAGGGGAATTTGTTTTCTTCTAAGGGACACATTCCGAGAAATACTACTTTAACCAATCTAAAGTTCAAATTTAGAATGGTTTCAAATTTCAAATTTAAACAATACTAGAAAGAGAAGAAACCCTTTAATGTCAAAATAGAACACTAATCTCTAACATTTGTGGAATTTTCTCATGAAATAATGCTGAGACAAATTAAAGGTCCATCTTGTAACTATTAATTTCATATTTGAAATATCCTAAACTTTTTGTGATCTTTTTCATTCATTTGCTTTGCTTTGTCCTTTGGTTAAATCAACATTTTAGCTCGTGAATTTCCCTCTTCCATTTTACTGTAAAAATCACCTGAGATATCATAAATGTTTGATGGGCCAAACATTTTGAAGTATGTCTCCAAAAACAAAAAGCAAAATGGTTATCAAATTTTCTGCAACATATTGGGGGGGGGAACTATTTGAAAGAATGTACACATGATTTAAATTAAGCTGGAAGCATTTTTTTTTTTTTAATTTCAGACCAGCTGACATGTATATTTCCTTCCTGTCTGGATACATAGTGTCTCATCTCATGTCTGAGCCTGCGCTCTGACCTGTCAAAGATCATTGACTTTGAGGGGAAAGGCATTGCAAGAGGACTGAGAACACCACGCTGCTTGAAATGCCAAGAGGGATTCGTCATGCAAATGTATTTCTTCCTAGACGAAATGAAACATACTTAGTTAACTACATGGTGTGTGTGTTTGGGTTTAGGGTTAGGAAGGCATTGCTGTATATTATGTGGCTGAGTTTACCATCCACACTGTAGTGTTCATGGAGCCTCTGTGTAGTCACTTTACCCTTCTCTTCCCTACTCTACTGACTTTTAAAATGAATTTATTTAAGAATTTCATGTATGAGTACATTGCATAATTGTGTGTAATTTCCACCCTTCCTCTCTCTTCTTCTAATCCTTCTCATGTCCGCCCCGCGAATTCACGACCTCTTCTATAAATATTGTTCACCCAAACACAAACACACCAATTAAAGGAAAAGAGGCCATGAATTTGAGAGAAAGCAAGGCAGGTGTATATGAACGGATGGAGGGAAGAAAGAGAAAGGGTAAATGATGTAATTATATTTTAACTTCAAATTTAAAAAAAAAAGAAAAGAAAAGAAAAGAAAGGAAAATATCCACAAGCTTGCTTACAGGCCAATTTGATTGAAGCATTTTCTCAACTGAAGTTCCCTCTTCTCAGATGACTCTAGTTTGTGTCAGGTTGACATAAAAGAACAAACAGCATAGTGTGTGTGTGTGTGTGTGTGTGTGTGTGTGTGTGTGTGTTGTGTATTTTAAAGTAAGTAAGCTTATAAAATAATAGGTGTTTGTGGCTTTTCAAACATCCTTATTGCTCTTTATTCCTCCTTCTGTCTGCCTGTAATACCCTGATTCCCCTTCCCCCTAGTTAAGTGCCCTCTCCTTGCCCCTCCATAGCACCTGTGTACTGTTACCATGCCCCCTGTATCTTAACCTCAGGAAACAGCGAGGAAGAGAGGGCAGAAAGACTGTAGGGGCCCGGGGACCAGGAACCCTGCTGCACATCTGTCTAAGTGTGCAAATACAGTCTGCTAAGTTTGTATAGTGTTTCTCGTATATTATTTCAGGGCTGACCACTTGGTATAGGAAAACCAAGGAGCTCCTCCCTGGGGAAGACTATTTTCCTGCTCTCAGCATCTCTTAGTTGCCTGAAATTATTTGTTTAGGTTTGGGGCCTCATAAGGTTGTCCCCTTCAATGTTAATATATCTATTAGTGTACTTGTTAAGGCACACATGTTGTGAAGACTTCATGGGTGCAGTTTGTCTGTTGGTTCTAAACAAACAAACAAACAAAAAACAAAAACTTCACAGCAGATTGCTGTTCCTCTGGCTCTTCTCCCCATCTCTTCCTGCCCCACCTCCCTCTGTGGTCCCTCAGTTTTAGGTGCATGAGTTATGTCACACCTGTATCAGTTGGGGCTGAGTGCCACACAATCACTTGTTCTCTGCACATGGACCAGTTGTGGTTTTCTGTCATAGTCTCTGCTACAAAGAGAAGTTTCTTTGAAAAGGGATGAAATACACACCAGGTACAAGGATAACTATTTAGAATGAAGTTAGGAGTTACACGGGCTTAAGCAGGTGGAAGTAGTAGATTCTCACCTAAAATTCATGATCTCAGCAGCCTGGTGTAGAGGGCACGGTTTCCAGTACCAGGCATGATTTCCCTCCGTTGAGTGGGCCATGTCCAGCTGAGCAGCTGTTGGTTGCTGCTGAGATATGAATGCTACTGTTGCACTTTCAGGGATCTCTTGTCATTGCTGTGGTCCATAGACATCACAGAAGCTAGAACTATTGATCTTTTCTCTCTTGAAACTTCCTTTGCATGGCACCTTCTGGAACGATAAGCCAGTTCTCAAGGAGGAGACTTTTAAGTCAGATCCAGTTCGATTTCTCCAAATCCTGTGTTTGTGGTGTGTTGTGTCTTCAACAATATGGACTTTCTTTCTATTTCTGGGAGGTGACTGAGGGCACAATAGTTTTCAATTTGGGTAAAGTTCCCTGAATTCCCCTGACCAAGTTGTTTCATGCTTGGTGTTGAGGCTTTTGGTAAATGATAGTCTGTGGCTCTTGCAAGGTAGATCTGCCAGGCTAGGTGGGAAATTTTCGTTTAAAATATATATTTTACCATCCTCCCTTCTATGCTGACCTCTCTTCCCCTTCTCTAATTAAGCTACCCATCATTTTTTCCCATCTTCCCAGGTATATCCCACTATGCCCCTCTCCATCCCCCATCACACACACCTGATGATGCTTTTTCACTCTTCTACTTTCTACAGTTACTCTAGGTTATCTACTCATGCCTGACATTTTGGAGTTAAGAGCCACAGGTGACAG